TATTGAAATACGTATATTAACATACAAACAAAAAAACCCACATCAAAATTATAGAACGCAGAATGACTCATGCAAATTAGATAAATATATGTGTTATGAGACTATAAATATGCAGAATTCGTGTAAGAATGCAACTATCAGTATGAACTGAGTCTACTTAATACAACTAAAAGCTTCTATTAGGTGATGCAGTTGTATCAGCTGCATAAACAGCAACAATTGTTAGCTTGATTGTAAGTTGAGGAATAGAAAGGGGTAAGAGGGCTTGTGATTTGCTTACACGTGAAAATGATTTATTCATGTGATTATTATTAAAGGATGCTCCTTAGAACAGCAATTAAAGCATATAATAACTGCTGATTTGCTCCCGGATTTTGAGGGCTCTGTACACAACTGCAGTTGTACAGGATATCAGGTAAACCTGTGAGGTAGTTAAGTGAAAACTGAGCCTAGAGTATTCAGCGTGTGAACAAAGTTAGTTTTAAGCTTCTGAAGGATGTCAGAAAGACCTGGGCCTCTCTGTGTACTTTGCTTTCACCATATCTAGTCTTGCTGTTGCTGCTGCTAGTGGCTATCAGGGAGGGCAGTAGTTAGTACTGGCAGCCTACACATGGAACTTATGTTTTCATCCTCAGTTTTTATTAGGAGCAGCAATCTAACCATGCCACAAGTAAATGTAGATTCTGTAAATACAGAATCTGTAAATACAGATTCTTGTATTTCTGGGGTTTCTTACTCTCAGATCTGAGCTCCGCCAGAGTGAATTGCTTACACATTACAGCATCCAGTTATTTCATATGAAGAATAATGTCAAATCTCTGTATTACTTGATACACATCAGCTCCTAAGACCAAAGGCTGGTGAGGTTGATATCTTGTTAGTGTTCCCTTGAAGCAAATAGGAAGTTGTGGAGGATTTTCATGTTGCTCACTTTTTCCACTGTATACAAAAAGGAACTTTGTGAATAGAACTTACCCTGCGGAAGAGTTGAATAAGGGATTCTTCAGGTGTCCCTGTTTAATACTGCTTGTTTTACAGTCACTAACAACCTGGAGTCAGCCTCTTGGATTCAGCTGCCCTACAAGGGAGATATGGATCCCCTAGAAAGGTGGAATCTAGGTAGAATGATTTTACTGATTTTCCACAGCAAAGGAAAGGCAGGAGCCATCACTCCATCCTCTGTTTTCTTCTCTTTCTCCTTGCCTCCTCCTTCTTTTCTGTCTCTCTATGCCATGTCCATCTTCCCAGGAGCTTCCTGCCCCACGGCTGGGGCCTCGTCCCAGCTGTGAGGCGCTCTTTGCTGTCTCTCCTTTGAAGCCTGGCTTGGGAAGTCAAGGCAGGGAGGGAGCCCGTGCCCTTTTCCGTGCTGAGGTGGGAGGAGGGGAAGCTCCCGAGGAGGACGGAGGGGAGCTGCCTTAACCGTTGCGGCATGTTTTCCCGAAAGCACGCTTCTCCCGTCGGAGCCGACGGAGGGTACGTAGGACGGGCACTGAGGGCTCTGCCTCGGGCGGTTTGCACGGCGCCTTGCAGCCTGGGGACGGGGCGGGGGAACAGCTGAGAGGAGCTCGGGGTGTGAGGCTGGAATGGGCCCCTGCCCCGCCGTGGCCGTTTTGCAGTGGGAGCGGGTAGAAGAGCTCTTCTGAGGCGACCGAAAAGGAAGGGAGCTGATGAGGCGAGAAGTGCGTGTCGTGATCTGAGCTGGGAAGTGCAGGTTCGAAGCGAGCCCTTCTGTGAGCCGGGTGTGCGACTGCTATGGTGCCCTCGTGCCTGATGTCCTGTTGTGGCTCAGGGAAGGTGAGAGGGGTTGGCCAAGGTGCTCCTGTTCATGAAAGGAAGCAGGGTGAGACTTTACTGCATAGATGAAAGGCTTTATTAAACACACTGAAGCCAATTTTTGTTTCTTTCAGAACAAATAATAGCATAGAATTTGTTGTTGATCTGGCTTAGCTATAATAGGTAGAAATTATTTTTGTAGATCTGTATGGGGATCCCAGGACTGAAATAGCAGGGGATGCTGCAAGACAGGAGCAAAGGGCATTAGCAGAGCTGTGTGTGTGGAGGTAGTAGCTTAGAAGTCTGCAGAGGTTCTGCTTGCACCATTTCAGAATTGAGAGTCCTTAGCAGTGGAATAGAATCAACGAGTCATTTGAGTTAGAAGAGACCTTTAAAAGTCATCTACTGTAACTCCCTTGCAATGAACACGGATGTCTACAGATCAGGTTACTCAGAGCCCTGTCCAACCTGACTTTGAATGTCTCCAGGGATGGGACATCCATCCACTGCTTCTCTGGGCAGTCAGTTCCAGTGCTTCACTACCCCTGTTGTAAAAAACTTTTTTCCTTATGTCCAGTTTGTATCTCCCCTTTTTGAGTTTGAAGCCCCAGCCCTCTCAGCATGTCCTTGTAGGGTAGGTGTTCCATCCTTTCATTTTGTGGCCCTCCTCTGGACATGCTCCAACAGGCCCGTGTTTGTCCTATACTGAGGGCTCCACATCTAGACACAGCACTCCAGGTGAGGTCTCATCAGCATAGTACAGAGGGGCCAGATCACCTCCCTTGACCTGCTGACCACGCTTTTTTTGATGCAGCCCATGATATGGTTGGCTTTTGGAATACAAGGGCACATTACTGGCTCATGTCCAGTTTGCCATCCATCAGTACCCCCAAAACCTTTTTCAGCAGAGCTGTGCTGTCCCTTTCATGCCTCTAGTTGTATTGATACTTGGGATTACCGTGACCCAAGTGGAAGGCCTACTCTGAGTTCAGATACTTCCTTGAAATTAATGCATTGGTTGTTGTCAGTAATAAAATCCTGTTCTAGTCTTCAGTCTATTCCATAGCCTCTGCTTCCCCTTCCTGCCTTTTCATAAAATTGAAGTTTCAGCAAAAATGCATTTCCATGTATATATTGTGTACTTATTTGCTCTCCCAACCTGCGGAATTTTCTTCTTTTTCAGAAACAGTGTTCTGCTCTCTGATAGTGATATTTGTGCTTTATAATTACATATTCTGGAGACTACAGTGCAAGTAATTTATTGTCCGTGTCCAAAATGTACTTGAACATTCAGGCGATAGTAACAATAGCCCTGAAGTTTTGAGATATTCTTTGAAAGGTAACATCAATTCTAAATCATTCTTGTGGATTTTTAAAGTTCCTCCATAAATTCCTGGGATATTTGGAGAATTGATAGCATCTCTAAGTGTATGGTAAGGCCTGTGATCGTGGCATCCACTTCATTTTGTCATTAGAACTGTGCAAGGATTGAATGGTAAGGAGCAGTTGCTCTGAGTAATGCTTCAGTCAGCCCAAAATATGGAGGTGAATTTGTGGCAGGAGAACAGAAGCAGGACTAACCTCACTGACCTCATACAAAATCTGCCAAATTTCTATGTTACAGATACATAATTTACTCATTACTGAATGATTCAGGAATCAAAACAGTGCCATGCAAAAGAAAAACACTATAGCATCTAGCAAGGCTCCTTGGCATCCATTTGTGTATAAGATCTACTGTTAGATTTCTCTGGACATGACTGGTTTCTGAAAATGAGAAATTTTCAGATTTAGCTCTTATTTTTTAGGTATTACAGAACAAAGCCTTCTGTTTTCCAAAACAAGTAATAAAAATGTTACATATACTGCCTTGGACATGTATTTTGTTAGTCCCAGGTACGCTCTAACTGTATGAGTAGAAGTGATAAATAAAGCATGTGCATATATAATATTAATATTTAATACATTTGTCATCTAACTAACACCTTACAGTATTTATTTGAGTACATTGAGGCTAACTTCTCAGTCTTTCCTCCCATATGAATTTAATCTTTAGATGTATAACATAGCTCTCTCATTTTGGTGTTAGGAAAAAAATGCGGGATGAAAGGTTTGCATTACTCTGTATAGATCAAGACTATATATAAGTTACACGACACAAGTAGCCTACCAAAATATATTGTGAATTGTCAGAGAATTGATGAGCATAAAGATACTTGGAGCTTGTAATGAGAGCATAACTTCGTAATTACATAAAGAAGTAGTTCTTACATACAGTAGGGAATACAGACACTTGGTTCAAGGCAAGAGTCTTTGCCACTTCCAGATACTGATCTCTTAACAGTAGTAAGGATCATGC